TATCCTTGTAACAAAGAAAGCCAAACTTGTTGCTTCTAGCTTGTTCGTGCCCAATCCCTATGAACGACAACTCCCAGCTTGGCTTAGATGGTATTGCTGATGGGAAGTGGAGTTTGCAGGTCCCTTCGACCTTTTTGTGAAGCCAAACCACAGAGATCCTTTCTGCATCACCGGTGGGTGGTGACCCTTCTGGACACAGACATCCTAATAAATCTGAGAGCTGCAGAGCTGGTAGGGACCTTAATGGATCAAGGAGGCCCCGTGGGGGGAATTGAACTCTCAACGTCTGGCTCCACGGCCAGAGATCTAAACCACTGAGCTCTCTAGCAGTTCAACGTTTGCAGTCGCGACCTCGGGGAGAGCCACGCTCCCTGTTTGTTGTTCCAGTTTTACCCGAAAGGCTTTCTTCGAGTCTCGTTTTCGTAACGCGCAGTGGTGGCGAAGCAGCCCTTCCCTGTTTTTCCCTGGTTCTCGGAGCAACAGATGCATCTGGGGGTCCACCTCTCTCTCTCTCCCCCCCCCACCTAACCATCTGCTCAAGAACCGGATGTCTCCGGCATTGTTTAGGACATCTGGATGTGACACCTGTTTGGGAATCCCTGGAGAGTCCGTCCGGAGGGACCGGATGAGATAATTTTGGAGGAGCGGAGAGGGAGCGGTGGGGGGGGGAGTGAGAGAGAGAGAGAGAGAGAGAGAGAGAGGAAGGAACCAAGGTAAGAAAAGGGATCACCCCTAAGAGGGAATCGAAAAGTGGAAACTAGTCGGACACAATGAGGAGTGTTAAAAATGGTCCTGACCGCAGGGGGTGAGTCTCAGGGTGCTGGCTGGGCTTGTTATGCTTCTCCAAGTCTTATTCCTCCCCCCCCACCCTGCCTCCTAATTAAATCTTGATTGATCTGCACTTCGGTTGGAGGTCAGGATTGCTTTGCATCTAGGCTGGTCCTCCTTTAAGCATCAGATTGTGAGATGCATATACATCTTGCAAATTAAAAGCAGACACCGTACAACTTCCACATCTCAGATTGTGAGCGGGTGTGTGGGTGGGTGTGTCTCCAGGAATGGAGTCAGCCTGCGGATGCATGATTTGAACCCCTCACTTTTGGGGTATCCTTAATGCTTGCTGCAAACCTATTCAGAGTGAATGTTTCCCCCATCCATTCTGGTGCTGATTTGCGCTCATGTGCCTTCACCATCGTTCAGTTAGAACATTGACCCTTGTTATGTGTTCAGCCTGGTTTCACCAGCATTATTGCTTTGCTGTTCTTAACAACGCCCCTGTTAGGTAGGCTCAAGCTTGGTCGCTAAGCCATGACGTGAATGTTCCTAGATAGGTGGTATATTCTCCAGCCACCGACGGCACCAGCGTTGGCTCGCTTTAGCCCAGCCCTCCCTCACCTCTCTCTCTCAATCTCTCTCTCTCCCAATCTTTTGAACCTCATCCCCTGTGATTCCTACCCAACATGGCCCATTGTCATCTGGGGATGATGGGAACTGGGGTATAAGATATCTGGAGAGCCCTGGTTGGGAGAAGGTTGTTTTTCAAGGTTGTTGGAGGGGTGGTTTTGACATCCTTCTGCTACTCAGGATATGGAAATGATTGAGGAAGAAAAATATGGCCAGGGAGTGAAAAAGTTGATGGAACGAAGTAGGAGCATGGGAACCAGATACTGAAGATGGGGAAGAAGCGACAGCGGGGGAAAATCGGGTTCAAACCGTTTTAATACGGCGGTCACTTAAATATGCTGATTTAATTGTTTCTTAATAGCACAACTTCCTGTGTTCTTAGTGGCATCTTCTAAAAAATCCATCTTGTGATTCAGCGCAGGGAGACGGAGGAGACAAAGTAAATCAATTACAAATCGAATAACAAAACTGGAGCAGTGGAGAGGAAAAGGACCCCTCCCCAGGAAACTGACTCAGGCCAAGGACATCAAACGATCCTCGCCTCTGTTTTGCTTCTCTCTCTTTCTCTCGCCACCCCTCCACAAATTGTGTCGAATAGGCTGGCTTTGCCATGAATGCCGAAGCTGCACAAAATCTCTGCAACAGCTCTCCTTGACCAGACCTGAGCTGAGTCAGTAGAGATGGGCATGAACTGGAAGTTCGTGCTGGTTTGTTGGTTTTTTTTTTTGGCCTGACAAGTCTATGGAGCTTCCCACCTCTGCCTCCTCCAGCAGCCACCCGCTGAGAGGCAGCACCTGCTGGAGGAGGCAGAGCTGAGAAGCCCCAAACACCTGTCCAGCCAAAACCAAACAAACAAACAACGAACCAGCACAAACATCCACTTGGGCGGTTCGAGCCCAACTCTATTAGCAAGCTAAGAGATGTAGGGTCCCTCTAGCTGCGTGGGAACCTGGCAAATCAAGGGGATGTCTGCATCCTACTCCAGGTGGGCTGTGGTTCCTTGTGATTCGGAAGACAAGGGGTGGGTGGGTGATACCCGTTCTTTATTGCGTGCTGCCAAGCCAGAACTGGCTTACAGGGACCCTAATAGGGCTTTCAAAGTAAGTGAGATATTTAAGGAGCGGTTTTACCAGTTCCACTCCCCAAGTCAGTTTCCATGGCTGACTGGGGATTTGAACCCAGGGCTCTCGAGTCCTGGCCCGTCACTCCATCCACTACACTTTGCAGGTGTCTTCAAGTCAGTTTCCGTGGCTGACCGGGGATTTGAACCCAGGGCTCTTGAGTCGTGGCCCGTCCCTCCATCCACTACACTTTGCAGGTGTCTTCATGACATTGCAGAGCTCGGGGTGAAGCAGTAGAAACGTGTGCCTGATGGAGACACCTGGAAGAGTCGAAAGCCAGTGCTTGTCTGTGAGATTTTCGTGGCATCAGGAAGGGCATCATCCAGCGTCATCATCAGATTGCGTACAAGAACCACACAGCTATTTCATGTTTTGTTTTGTTTTTTGTTTGTGGTGATAATACCAACCGAGGTCTCCCTTTGAGGTGCAACCAAGGTTGGGGAAGACAGAAGGCTGACTTTCTTGCTTGCTAGGTGTTGCTTCATCTTTTTATGTGTCTCTTTATTTACCAGTAAACTGATCTGTTCTCTGGAAGGAAAGAGACCACGTGTGTGAGCAGTGGGACCGAAGGAGGAAATCTTTCATTGTCTCTCCATGCTATAATGCAATACAGCAGTGAAAGACTTCCTCCGACGCTCCCATAAAAAAAGGTTGGGAACCACTGCCCTAAATATGATGATGATGATGATGATGATGATGATGATGATGATGATGATGATGATGATGATGATGATGATGATGATGATGATGATTGGATTTATACCCTGCACCGTCTGGCAACGTGTCTGTAAACAGGCTTTGAAGACAGCAGTTCTCTCCTGCTGTCAGTCCCCGCAACCATTATTTGGTGGTATACCACCCCTGTACATGGAGGCTCTACATATAGCCATCACGACAGCTTGCTAAGACTCCAACCAGACATTTCCCCCCTTTCTGCTGTATTTCCAAAGGGCTTCTGACAGATCGTTCTGTTAGCTGGCTGTGTGCAGGGCTGGAACAGATGAGGAGTTGAATATTTTCCTTTCCTTCCCTCCCCCCCCTTTTGCTTTTCCAATCTTTAATCCTTTGCAGCTGGCGGCTGCTTTTACACAAAGGATTTGAAAGGAAGGATTTGTATGAACTGCGGGCTTTAAAAAAGAAAAAAAGAAAGAAAGGCAGGGTATTCCCACTGAATAGAACTCAGCTGTCCAGAACATTATCATCCCGCTAGATGCCTCAAACACACAAGCCACTTACGTGTTGTGGGTTAGACATTATTTCCTGGGTTCCTGGCATACTTCCTGCTTCTCAGACGCTGTCAGAGTTTCTGCTTGCGCATTTGCTCCCTGTTTTGGAAACCAAGAGGTCTTCTCTCTGTGCTGACGTCCTGGCCTCAAGGATTTGGGTTTGGCCGGGGGGAGAGAAAAGGGGTATTTTTCTTGCTTCAGCACAGGAAGGCCAATAACAGTGACTATTTTTCCCCCGCAGAGAGAGATTCTGATGTAAAAAGAACACAAAACAGCTTGTTTTCCGTGAGTCACTTCTGCAGCATGCTTGCTGTTCAAACGCAGAAATGCTTAAACATTCTTCTTTTTAAAAATAAAAATACCTAAAGTCTCCTAAAGTTGGCCTGAAGCCAAAAAATAAAAAGGTGGCCGGTGGTTTCCATTCAGACTGGTGGGTTTTCTTGACGCCAGATTTCCCAAACCTAACATGGGCTGGGCCAAATATCCCAGCGTCTCCCAGCCAACATGGTGTCTAGGGCTAGAGATATGTATTAGACGTGAGAAACCGATAGAGCCTCTATGTTCAAGAGAAGCCTTTCTGAGTATTGGCTGCTGCTACGCTCAAACGATGAGGGAGAGCTCTAGTCCAGAATGCTGGACTAGGAAAGAACTGGTTGAAATGTGTGACGCTAGAGATTTGGGGAGCATCTATGTTGCAGATGCTTTAGGCATGCTAAAATAGGTGCAGTAGGACAACCCCCCCCCCATATAAATGGTTGTTTGGTTTCAAACCCCACTGTGGATACTGAAAATCGCAGATAAGAGTAAACCCTATACATATCATGGTCTCTGTCTCCCTCTAATGGCCAGTTCTGGTAATGACAGTGTGGAAATATGAATTTCTAGGTTTTTTTTTCATTTCCTTTTACTATTTTTAATATTTTCAAACTGGATAGGTGAAACCACAGGTCCCAATCCTGTGGATATGGATATTTCCTCCTATATAATGACTTAATGCCTAAGCCTAATGGATTCCAAAGTAAACTGTGTGTCGTACGTGTGGCATTGTTATCATAAGCCCTTGTAATAAGTAGACGTTTTCTGTTCAGATACAAGAGTTTTATTTTAATTTTAGCATACTGGTCTTAGTTAGAGAAAAGAATATATCTTGATACAGCCAAAGAGGTCTTCTTGTCACTCCTGAAGAGTTTTGTTCAAGGAGGAAACTGTTCTAAAATGGGCCACCTTCTTTTCTTTACCTCCAAAACAGGCCACCAAGCAATTTCTGGAAGAGATCAACAAGTGGACGGGCCAGTACAATGTCTCTCCCCTCTCCTGGAACGTGGCGGTCAAGTTCCTCATGGCCAGGAAGTTTGATGTCCTCCGAGCCATTGAGCTTTTCCACTCCTATAGGGTGAGTGATGTTGTGATCCTAAGGCTGGCATCAGGTGGGAATCTTCCCCGGGTGCCCGTTGGGTTGAACAGCATCCCTAAAGGCACACCCTAGCCAATCAGCACTCAGCAAGGAAACAGCCCATCAGGAGGGAGAGAGTTTTGCTCATGACAGACTTTCCACCTTCCATCCCATGGCTTTTCTAACTTGCAGATAATCCCATTCACAGGATAGAAACCGTGGGATCTGTGGGAGCATCGGAGGAAGTCTTTCATTGCTGGAAATTGCTGCTGGGTTGCATTGTAGCATGGAGAGACAATTAAAGATTTCCTCCTTCTGTCCCACGGCTCACACACAATGGAAGGAATGATTGGCAAGTCAGTAGAGCCTTGGGAGAAGAGGGAGGAAGTCTTTCATTACCAAAATCTTAATAATGCCATAGCACCACCAATGGAGAGTTCAGCCTAGGAGTGATTAAAAAATGAAATTGCCTTCTCATCTTTTACCTGGGTGTACGTCTCACTCCCCAGGAAAGATCAGATAACCAGAATGCCTTCCTAAGACTCTGGGTGGTCTTACAATCTTTATGTCCATGAGGACTAGAAACTTCATTCATCTCCCCATAGCTCAGTCCCTTTCATTGAAGCCTCAGGTTTTCAGAATTCCTTTTCAGCTGCTGGCTCATAGCTGTGGGTCACCATCTACGTCCTTCTGAAGCCCCACAGGCTGCCCCACGGTTTCTCTGCCTGTCGAGCCCTACTGAGCCGCAGATGTAAGAAAACGGGCAGACCTTCTTTTCCGGGGTCAGACCACCCTGGGGGTTTACCCAGACTAGGTACTTTCCCCCCAGTCCTAACTGGCGAGAAGCTGGGGGGGGGTTGAACCTCAGAACTCTTAACACAGAAAGTCTGGCGAGCTGTAGCTGCTCCCCAGGATTGTGGTTGTCTTATGTTTCTGTCCATTTCTGCAAAAACTGGTTGGGCCAGCTTATCTCTGGGGTTCGATCTTTAATGTCCGTTTCCTTGCCACTCAGGAAACCAGGCTGAAGGAGGGAATTGTGAAGCTGAAGCCCCACGAAGAACCCCTCCGCTCAGAGCTGCTCAGTGGGAAGTTCACGATCCTAGTGAGTATGGTGCGATGCGTGGTTTTTGGCGGTGCAGCCTGGAATCTGTTGGGGGTGTTCCCCGGTCGGCGTCTTGATACACACTAGGCTGAGAGAGGGAGGCCAGTTCTAGATCGCACCCTGAGATGTCCGCGGCTGAGCCGGGATTGGAACTCGGATCTCCGCGGCCCTTGTCTTACTCTCCAAGCACACCACTTCTCGGGCGGCTTCCTTTCCCTGTGGCTGTCAACACGCACGGCTGCTGTAGGGTTCAGTAAATAGGATTCGGGCCAGAGTGTTAAAAGTTCCTGATTAAGTAGTAACCCCCTCCCCCCCGACATTCCAAAATCAGCGTTCAGCGCTGCTTCGACACTATAATTGGTTGAACTGTCTTTGAATCGGAACATGGGAAATGGACTTTGGGACTGCAAATCCCAGAATGCACAACCCCTGATCCTGTCGCCGGGTGGGGATGGGGGGGGGATTCTGGGGGAGTGGCACGATTTTTAGCTTGGTATAAAGCCAACCGATATTTTAAATAATAAGTGAATAAAAACCAACTCGATGAGATCTTATGAAGCCGCCTTTTTGGACTACAGCCTGGTTGGCTTGTGGATTCTGGGAACTGTAGTCCAAAACGAATGAAGTTTCCAAAGCTCTACATCTAGGCAGCCACATAAAACGCTCTTCAAAGGAGCCCCATAGAACAGCGGTTAAAGTGCAGTGCTGCAGTCAAAGACTCTGCTCAGGACCTGAGTTCGACCCCAACGGGCTCGGGTAGCCAGCTCAAGGTTCACTCAGCCTTCCATCCTTCCCAGGTTGGTAAACTTGAGAACCTGTCTCACTGGGAAGGCCACGCATAGCCCGCATAATCACATTGTGAAGACACAGAGGGTGCGCTTTAAGTGCTACAGGGTGATATATAAGCAACGCACTTTGCTTTGGGCGGCTCATGAGCCCTCAGCTCTTGATGCAGGTTTCCCATCCTCCTCTTCTTTGCTCATCATCCTCTCTCCCCTGCCCCCCTCCCCCGGCTTCTTTTCAGAGCGTACGAGACCCGTCCGGAGCCTCCATCGCCCTCTTCACGGCCAAGCTGCACCACCCCAACAAAAGCGGGTAAAGGGTCCCTGTTGAAAACTTGCTGAGGGAGAGGACAAGAGGCGGGGAAGGCTGGAGCCACAAGGAGTCGAGTGAGACCCAAAATTGACCCACGGAGCCTCCCATTCCGGAGCTTGCTTGCCACTATTTGTTGCCTGGAGTGGGAGAGACAACCGTTTCGTAGATCTGGAAATTTTTTGCCATAGGGATTTGGAGAGCTTTGGGGGAAACAGCTGAGCCCTGTGGCTCGGTTAGCTGCTGCAAATCCTCGAGGGCCTTTTCGCGCACTCCGACTCCCATCCTTCTCAGCCCGCTTTGGTGTACCTTCATGACTTCTGGAACCTCCTAGCAAAGAGGCGGCTCATTGACTGAAAGGAGGGAGGGAATGACAAGTGCAGGATTGGGTTTTGTATAGCAGATTTCGGTCTCTGGCGGCCGAACCAGAGGGTTGGGAGTTCGAATCCTACACTGGGCCTCCTTGGCAGGGGCTGGACAAGTGCAGGATTGGGTTTTGTATAGCAGATTTCGGTCTCTGGCGGCCGAACCAGAGGGTTGGGAGTTCGAATCCTACACTGGGCCTCCTTGGCAGGGGCTGGACTGGATGATCCACAGGGTCCCTTCCAGCTCTGCCGTTCTAAGGTGATGAGGATGATGCATTTGTTGTCATCCTTGAACCCCTGCTGTTGAGGTTGGGGTGGGGTTTTAAACCTTCTCTGCCAGACTTTGTGCACCCACCCCTCTCTCTCTCTCTTCCTTGCTTACTCGCCTCTCCGGTCACATCCAGCTTCGAAACTCAGAGGAACGGCCTGGTGTTTATATACGACATGGCAGGCTCTCACTACACCAACTTCGAACTAGATCTGAGTAAGAAGATCCTCAACCTGCTGAAGGTAAGAAAAAAAATGGAAGCAGAAAAGGAGACGGGGGTCTTTCCGGATTCCTTCCTGGCTTGTTGTGTGTTTGGACGGGCATTTTAAAAAAATCTTGTGGCTATTTGCAGAACTTCTTTGGGACTCTTCTAGTAAGACTAGAAAAGGGTTTTTGAGATGCAGAAATTGACCTGTCGGTGGATTTTGTTTCTGAAACAGGCCAGGGTGGGGTGGGATCTGAAAAGGACCCCCCTGGGGGAATCCATTTAGCTCTGAAAGAGAACAGAGTGTTTTAGCTACTAGTGGCAGGTGCCCATCGTGACCAGTCCCCATGAACAGCCATCCCTGGGAGAATCCAAAAGTAATAGTAACTGATATTCTAGTGAAGAAACCGAGGAGCAGGTCTTTTGTAAAGCCAATGGCTCTTAATTCCCCATTCAGAAGCAAACGACATTTGGATCCTTCCCATTGCAGCATGACTGCTTGCAACAATATACTGTTCCTGGGATTATCAATGTCTCTTTCATGTACCCTGTGGATTGCAGCTAAGCTCAAGAGGAGACAGGGAAGCCAGGCGGAGGTGGTGGGTGATATAGCTCTCAGCTAACCATGATATGTTGGGGTTTTGCTCTTCTAAGCCCTGGTTCCAGCAAACGTGGCTAGCTGCCACCGAGAAGGCCTTGTTTCTGGTTGGTTAGATGTCCATCTATCAATGGCTTCCAAGCAAAACTGGATGGACCTGCAACAAAATTTTGCAGTATGGGTGGCTTGTGACCTAGGTGCTATGGCCCCCATTGGGATAAAGGACTCTGCCTTTGCGCCTCGATTTTTCCCATCACTACTCAGAACAGGACACAAGAGTCATGGAACTTATCTTCCTACAAAGAGGCTAAGTGCAAGATGAAATATACTTCATCATATCTCTCATTTTGCATTATTTGGCTTTATCTCGCTTGGATCCAAAGTTCTAGTGTTCCATTTATTTAAATTTATTGATCTAAAACATTTTTGCCCCGCCTTGCTCCTTAAAAAGGCACTTTCCATCATTAAAAGACAAGATTTAAATGCTAAAAGTAGCATGTATACGAATATTTTTAAAAGGAGCAAACAAATGCCACACGATAAGCAGTATACAAAAACAACACCAAACGCACATTCGAAGCAACAAGGCACAACAACCCATCCCTCTTAAGAACCCCACTTCAGGCAGCCCGTCATTCAGGGAAAGCCGGCTGGAAGAGAAAGGTCTTCGCCTGCGTGCGGAAGGACCACAAACATGGGGTCAACCTGACCTCCAGTGGCAGGGAGTTCCAAAGTCTGGGAGTGTTGCTTTGATGTTTTCCATCCACCGTGTTGAAATCTGTAGACAAGAGTGGCTGTTAATAAAAATAAACGCTGGAGCCAGAAAACATTCTCACGGGAGTCCAGATCCAGAGGCTTAGGGTTGACCTCCATTTAAGGAAGCCCATTGTTCCGGTTCTTCTCCTCTGATGGTCATTACATGAAGGTGTAGGGTGGATGATGTTTGCACCCATATGGTGAAAACCAAAACTTCCTTTGATGGTTCTTCCCCTGCGGCCGCCCCTGGCAAAAGGGACATAGTGAAAAACAAAATGATATCTCCGAAACTTCCTTTGATGGCTCTTCCCCTGCGGCCGCCCCGGCAAAAGGGAAATGACACACTCTTCCGATGATATCTCCGAAACTTCCTTTGATGGCTCTTCCCCTGCGGCCGCCCCGGCAAAAGGGAAATGACACACTCTTCCGATCAGTGTCTCCACTCCGCTCTAATTGACTGATGGGATGTAGCTTAATTAATGAATCACAGAGACAAAATTCGGGCTCTTGATCCCAGCGGTCATCACCCTTGAATGGGGACATGTGAGGATAGTGGCGTAAACAGCCTATTTCCTCCTGGCAGTTCCCAGAAAAGGCAGAAACCACCATTTCCTGTATTTAAATGCCTTTTCTCTATTTTTCGTTCTGTCTCTCTCTCAAACACACAAGGATTGGGAGCGCTATAAATACACCCACCCCATTGAAAAACAAAATCCCTTAATTGTCCTTGACCAGCAAAGGCCTGTTTTTTCAAAGCTGAAGCCCAGGTCAATAGATCACCCTCCTCATCTTTTCTGTGACGGTATTAGACTTGTCGAGAGGGGGACTAAGAGGCAGCGTGGCCCCATGGATGGAGTGTCTGGCCAGGGCCCGGGGGACCCTGATTCGAATCCCCGCTCAGCCACAGAAACTCGCAGATGGGGCGGCAAAGGATTACAAACCACCTCTTCAGCTCCGATTTCAGTGTCCCCGTTCGGGTTTGTCGAAATGTGGTGCTAAATTGTTTTGTTTCAATTGGCTGGTGCAGAGGTTCAAAAAAAATGTCTCATTTTGCTCTCTTGGCAAAGGCTTCCATCTCCCTCTGTTGGTCGCAGGAAAGGAAAGCAGGAACAGCAGAGAGTGGGTGCCTTGGCTGTAATTGATTTTTTAAAAAAAAACTTTGTGTTTAATTAATAATCATTGTCAATCAAGTCAATTCTGACTTTATGGCGACCCCTTTCAGGGTTTCCCAGAAGACTCAGAACTGGTTTCTCATTCCTGTCTTCCCTGGGATGGTGCAGCTTGCCCAAGGCTACCTAGGCTGGCTCTTCTCCTAGGAAGCCATAGTCAGGAATCGAACTCCCAACCTCTCAGTTTTGTCCCTCCTGGGGGCGTCCCAGGCCAGCCCCTCTATTTTCCAGCTTATACAGGTTTTTTTTTGTCTCTTTCTAAAGTTTCCAAAAACTTTAGAAACTATCAACGATCACGTGGCATTTATAATAATCTTAGGACTGCAGATCTGGAAGAGGCCTTATGGATCACTGGGTCCAGCCCCTCTCAAGGAGGCGCCATGGGGATTCGAACTCCAAACCTCTGGCTCCACAACCAGAGACCTAAACCACTGAGCTCTCCAGCATGGTCTTCATTTTACTTTGTTCTTCTTGCTGCCGAGAGATGCCTTTTTGATGCCAAATTCCAGCCACAGCCGTTGAATTCTGGACCTCCTGAGCTGTTCCCAGCAGTAATTGGCCTTTTTAAAAAAACTGTCACCCACTGAGAATGCCCGAGAAGGTTATATTCCTGTTTTCACCAAATTTCTCCCTCCCTCTCCCACCTGCCATGTCTCTTTTCCAAGGGTGCCTTCCCAGCCCGCCTGAAGAAGGTCTTCATTGTGGGCGCCCCTATGTGGTTCCGGGTTCCTTATTCCATCATCAGCCTCCTGTTGAAAGAGAAGCTCCGAGAAAGGGTGAGTTGGAAGGCATCTGATTTGATGAGAAATTGGCATTGATTGGGGTGGCAGGGCCATGAGTCATTTTATATATACAGTGGTGCCTCGCTTAACGAGCACACCATTTAACGATGAATTCGCATAGCGACGCGTTTTTTGCGATCGCATTGCAATGTTTTAATAGGGAAAACATCGCATTGCGATGATTAGTAAGCGTTTCGCTTACCGATCTTCGCATTGCGATGTTTTTTAAACAGCTGATCGGCGGTTCCAAAATGGCCGCCGCATCCGCAAAATGGCCGCCCGCAGTGTTTTAGCGCCCTGCCCTTGCATACCGGGCAGCGAAAATGGCAGTCGTATCAAGGATTCCTCGCATAGCGGTGAGTTTTCGCCCCAATAGAAACGCATTAAACCCATTTTAATGCATTCCTATGGGTCCCCCCCCCGCATAGCGACGAATCCGGATAGCGACGTTAATCCTGGAACGGATTAACATCGCTATGCAGGGCACCACTGTATATTACATTATCCTGGATTAATGTGTGTTGAGACAGAGGCCCATAGTAATGGTGGGAAAGGCGGAAGGCAACAGGAAAAGAGGAAGGCCAAACACAAGATGGACGGACTGCATAAAGGAAACCACAGTCTTGAGTCTGCATCTTTCATTGCATCACAATTTAGCAATGAGCGTGGGGGAAAAAAGAAAAACACTGCAAGTCAAAATCCACCATCTCCCAATGATCTTAACCACCCAAAGAAATAAGGTATAAGAACATCCTCTCTCTTTACCATACATTCAAGGCAGATAGATCACAAAAACTGCCAGCATCTCCCTGAAAATAGCTACTTATATTGATCAACAGCAGGCCAGCCGACTGTGCTAAGCAATCTTGCTCTTCGCTTTAAATTTGGGTGTCCTATGTACGATTGCAGAGTTTTGCATTTCTGTCAAAATTCTCTTTTGCTAGTCAACAGAAGTACAGAGATCCGCAGAGAAGGAAAAGCCGCAAGTTCACCCCCCCAAAGTCCACCCCTTTCTCATTACCAGGCATTTAAAGTCCCAAATGCTCACTCTTAGACAATTGCAGGAGAGTGACTTACAGTGGCCTGAAAATGATAGGCTTGTATTGTACGGCTTACACATACTTAGCAACTAACTAGCTGAAAAGATCAACAGCGAACAAACAACTGCCACCAACAGAGAGGGGGGAAAGCATTCAGCAGAGAGATGGGACTCTCTTTAAATTCAAAGCCTGGAAGAGAGGGTTGGTTAGTGCCAGATAGATAAATCACCCTGGCCAAGAAATCCCTCCCAGTCACACAAACTGCAGAGAGCAGGCAAGGCTGCAAATTAAATTCCGACCTGTCTATGTATTTGGATGTGCCTTCATTGTTTTCTTGGTCCTTTCCACCCCCCTCTCCCTGTTTCAGGTTCAGATGGTGAAGATGTCCGAGCTGAAGGAACACCTTCCCCGAGAGTGTCTCCCCGAGTATTTGGGGGGATCCCTCAAACTGGATCCCCTCAACTGGAACGGCAGGTTCCTCCCGCAGCAGAACGGTCACCCGGACCCTCTCGACGAGCTGATCCTGGTACCGCTGGCTTCCCCTCGTGACAACGGCTCGGTGCACGTCCCGGGCCCGAAGGGCATGACGGTGCAAGGGGTCTTGGAGCACGTCAGCCGCAAGCAGAAGCGAGGGATCTACGAGGAGTACGAGGCCATCCGGCGCAGGAGTCCCTCGGGCAGCTTCGCTTGCTCTTTGTAAGTGCACCGGGCAGAGAGAAAGAGGAGAAAGGATGATTAAAGGGCCTTCCTCCTCCATCTCCCCCCATTAGACCAGAAATGCTCACCCGGTGGTCCTCCAGATGTGACAGGCATCCAGCTGTCAGAATCCCTGGCTGTTGATCCCATTAGCAGGGACAGATGTCCAAAACATCTGGAAAGCCAAAGACTTGAGAGAACCCCTGCTCTAGAAACTTGGGCGGCTACCAACCGCTGCAGTTGGGCTCGCCGTTCTTCTGGCACCATTGCAAAGTTTCGGATTTTCGGTTAAATTCTTCCAGCTGTGCCCCAGAAGTGCCGGGATACACAAAACAGAATTAGCTTCAAGTTCCCCCAGATGAGTCCACCCCTGGCACTTATGGGATCCGTAACTCACTCTGAGACATTTGAAATACAAAGAATAATTAAAAAAAGCATGCTTCCTTCCTTCCTTCCAGCTCTGAACAGACCAAACAGGAAAACTGAATAAAGCAGGGGATACCCTGAGCAGTGGACCTCGACAGACTCACTGACTTCCCACAAAGTATAGAAAGGGAAAAAGGAAGCAGGGCTCCCTTTGAATCAGAGGCAGGGAAGGGACGATGGGTCTGTGCTGTTAACGATTGGCCGTCACCCCCACCCCCCCGCCAAGCCCAGAAAGATCCCTCCCAACCAGACCTACTAAAGGCAGCATGCGAGGCTGAAATAACTCCCAAGAGGGTAGAAACACGAGGTGTGTAGTTTTTGGTTTTTGGAACACAGCTCCTGGAATTTCCACAGCTGCCTAGGGGATTTTGGGAGTTGTAGTCCAAAAAGCACCCATCTGCACCTCTCTCAGGGACCCTCCCAAGATTCCTTGTCCTCTTTAGGTTGCATTTTCTGGTGTGATTTTTTTTTTGGAGGATTCCATCGTAACCAACTCTCTTATTTGACTGTATGCCTGCGGTTGCCCTGCATTAAACAGCAAAGTTTAGGGAAGTTTCTTTTCTTAGACTGTCC